ATTCTGTCGCTTTTAAGATCTCATTGCCGTCGATAAAATGAGCTGTGTTACGGCAAAATCAAATCGCTTTTCACTTCAGCGACACTATCATAGCGATATATAGTTTTTGTGTTTATTATTTTCCCGACAGACTGCTAAGGCTTAATTTTTGATCACAATGTTTGTTCTCGCGCCACCAGAGAGTGTCGCACACTTGCGGACAACCGCTTTGCGGGCAGCTAGATGAACCGCAGAAATTCTGCGGGAACAATTGGAAATCACCCAACTTTTGCCTACAACTTGAAATTCTAACGAAGAATTTGGCAATTGGATGTTGCGAATTATGTTTCCAGGTGGTGAAATGGCTTGATAGCTGCTATAATGTTAACCAGGCATTTTTAAAGGTTCAGAAACGACCTTTTTGTAAACAAACTCGCATAACTTTGGAAGTGGTGGATAGTTTTAGATGAAGCTTGTCAGATTTTGTACTTATCAGTAAAAGGGAGCTGTCAACAAAAGATTTATTTATATCATGTACTACGTAAATTACGGCAGAAAAATAGTAGTTGTCATAGAATTTTAGGGCAACAGTTGGCAATAAAAAATACAGTCTTTTGGCAAATTTTGAGGGCATTTTTCAAGCCAAAATTCATAAAAACTTTCTGCATTTTTGATCTAAAAATCTCGGTAGTTTTTGCAAAGTGTAAGGTAAAAATCTTGCATGTATCTTCGAAAAATTGGTTCTGAGTATGCCTCGTTTTTCATAAAAACCTGAGTGTCGCACTTTGAGCACTTCCCCTGCAAACCAAACGGAATAATTGGCCGGAGACATATATAGGTCTCTGCTTCTTGTATAAGAATACTTCCTCATGTTGACATCTTATATCACACTTTTTTTAAAATTTGATCTTGTCTGTCAAAACGTTCAATTTCCGTCTTTTTACTATACTTTTTCTTGTGCCTTTGTTCCCAATTTATCCAGTGAAACCCCAAAAAAAATTTCGTCGACAACTGACAATGACGTTCAATTATCATCTTCCGGTTGCCTCAGGGCGTTCAATTTTCCCGAAATCCCCTTATAATGAGTGTTAAGCCGTCCTCGCCTAATTTTAGAACGCGTGACCAATTTGTCGATATTTTTTTGAGAAGAGAAGATTAGCCAAATCAGAAAAATGTAAAGTCTTTCTACGAAGGTTTTCCGAGGGCCGGGAACTTTTATCGAGTCTGCAAAGTGGTGGCCACACTTTTAATGACCTCGAGCACGTGATGACGCGAGAAGCGTGCGTGGGAAACGCGCGCTACACGAGCAAACATTTTCTGGTCGTTTCACGATGTAGGGGACAATGGGATCGACTCCAATGGGTTTGTTATAGCAAATATTCACAGGGCAAGGGTCTCAAGTGCTCCCTTTAAATTCTGCAGACATCTTTGGCATAGGGTTCCGTAAAAACAGTCAAATTAATTTCTGAAAGTTTTAGCCCGCGCTTTGCAGCCTCAGCCAAGATATTCAACGATCTTTGTGGCCGAGAGAGTATACTGGTCGACAAAATTTTTTCTTTCCACCATGTATCGCAGGAACCGCTGGGCCTAGAACCTCCAAATTCGGCATAGAAACATCCTGAGACAATCTAACGCCATACCCAAAAAATCATGTCAACCAGAAGACAAAACGCGGAGAACGGTCAAAGAAAAGCCCCTTTTGGCCATATCTTTACCTGTGTCGTGGAGAAAAAAAGTGATTTATTGTAGAAACACTGCCTACTACGGTAGAAATCGATATATATTGAAACTTTTTGATGGGTTCGTTGTACGGAAAAATACATTCATTTTGGCCAAAAAAATGACTTTTAGGATCTCTGAAATAGCTTGATATAGGGCTTCGTCTACAATTTTCGTTGTACTTACATAGTTCATTGTACTTACACTTAATTTTGTTGTATTTACATAGTTTAACATAGGGCTTTGTATACGGACTTTCGTTGTACTTATTGTAATATACAGAGGCTCTACTATAAGGTCTTTTCAAAGCGTCCGCTAATGTCCTTATATTTTTTTACTAATGCGATTCCCTATTTTCTTTGTAGATTCTCATCTCTCCAAAACATACCACAAACCACAATTCCACTTCCGATTACTTGTTCGAAGTAATAACTGAGCCGGACCGTTGACTCAGCTGCACGCGAAGCCCTAGAAAACAAATGCCCTAACTGGGAAAGAATGGATGAGTTACCCCCCGTTTTTTATTAATCTCTCTTCCCTCTCTAATTCGTGTTTATTACACATGCAGTCTATGTCATTGTCCCACGATTATCCTCGGGGCCGACATACTAATAATTCGGAGCGCTTTCCGGGGATGAGCGGGGTATTGTATAATTAGCGGTGGAAGACATCACTTGAGGAAGTCCTCAGGGTCGTGATGATATTATGATGATGATATTAAGGAAATGCAGAATAATAGTTCATATTTGAGATGATAGAGGTTGTGATTTATGGTCACAAAAGAAATGGAAGGTTCTCGAAATGCGGCTTTTAGATTATGGCAAGATTTTGCACAGGCTTTGGGTTAAGGGCCATAGATCAAGTACTGGGAATGCAAGCTTTTACGGTGCGGGGGAAGCAAAGATATTCAGCAATGATTGCCGACAAGAGCGTGTTAAAAGCGCGGCTAGAGAGATATTGCTGTCATTTTGGGAATTAAGGAGTGGCCCGTTAAACGGGCTTTTGTTATGCGATAAAATATGTACGTGTTCTGTTCTGCGAGGTCCTATATATTGTATACATTGTATTTTTCGAGCCAATTTTACCGCGTATGTTTTTCAAAAACGTTTTTCTCCTCATTTTCTATTATCTGTCATCTGTGAAAATCCTTGAATATCTCAGCCGCGTTAGCAATCCAAACGCTAGAAGTCTTAAGGATCGCCTTGTATGTCCGAGACAAAGCATTCACAAGGGATCGGCAAATAGTTGTAACCTGCTTTCTTAACGAAACCTATATCATTTGAAAGAGGCTTAAAAATAGTTCACAGCGCAAAAAGAATTAGCTGCCTAAATTCACTTTGGACAAAGTTATGGCCAAAACACAGATTTTAGCCTAATTTCCGCCTCGCTTTATAAGCTCTCGGAATGGCAACAGAGTTGTGTCCAGTTGGCCGAGTGGTAGTGAGCCCACTTCCGGCTCAGCGAGTCCTGGTTTCGAATCCGGTCTCTGTAAATATTTTGCGTTTCGTCTCTTATATGCCACAAAACCATGGTATGTTGACATTTTTTTATAATTTTTGTTCCTCCGCAGACAAAATCCATGGTTACGCAATTTTTCTGAGATTTTGAATTTTTTTGAAACGACCACAAATTTGATGGTGATGAGAGTGGGTATGCACGGCAACCCGAAGTGTTTCCTGGCTCCTTTCGACACTTCGCCCATTTTGTATCGGTTGAAATCAAACAAAATGTCACAAAAGAATTTTTCGTGGGATTTTGCGACCGAAAAATATTTTTCTCGGAATTATTTTATTTCTTTTGTCAATTTTGACACTTCGTTTGGACGAAACTCAAAAGTGGGCGGGAAACATTTTTCTTCTATTTCGGGTTGCCGTGGTATGTCACTATCGTATAATTACAAGGGTGTTGTGCCAGTAACCTGACCGATTATGATTACTGGAGGATTATTCAATTTAGAAGGGCCTATAAATATACATTTTTTCGAAAAAATACGAAGATAAAATTGTAAAATCGGCCAAAGACACTATTGCTGACACAGTGGACCAACCATTGGTAAGGCTAGGACATAAGAAATTTTCGATTTTGAAATTTTCGTTTGTGAATGACCACTACGATCATATAAATGTATTTCCAAAGCTTTTTGCTCCAATTTTCCCTTTAACCTAGTTTTATTTACAATTTACTGTAACTAGCAGTAATGTCTAATAACATATAACCGAGGATTGGTAAAGCCATAAAACGACCGTGATAGACGTTTTTGGATAGCAGGAAATTAATAAAGACGATTTCAAACCGCCAGGATTACTGTAATATAAGGAACCGGCGTTTTGGCCGCATATAACCCCTTTCAAAAAGCGGTCGTATCTATGCCCTAAGGTAATTTAGGCAGCTAATTTTTTTTGCGCTGTGCACTATTTTTAATGCTCTTTCAAACGGTGTATGTTTCGTTAAGAAAGCAGGGTGCAACTATTTGCCGATCCCTTGTCAGTCAAAGCTTTAGGAAAATGGAAATTTCGCCTCGTGAGAACCGTCATACTTTGGAACCTCTGTACAACGAATCGCAACAGACAAAAAAGTCATTCTAAACAATATTTCTAACGCCTTCATAGACAGGGTTCGCTTCAGGGAGGTTGATTTTGGGCTAACATTTGCCTCTAGAAGCCTCGGGAATTTCTCTTGCCATAAAAGTTTGTTTTACGGCGTTCGCTGTACAGAGATTCTACTGTTATTTCTCCTGTCTCCTCCACCTCTTCGTCTAGATGAAAGCGGCTTTTGAGCTACAGCGCTGTACTTATTAAGGGATGATCCCTCCACGGTACATAGGATGGTCTATGAAATATACGATTCTATGTTAATTACAGGCGTTCTTGTAGCTCAATATATAGATGCACTAAGTGCCCACAACAGCTCTATTATTACCAGTTTGCTTTTTTGACCTTGCTCAAGAATTACTTGGCATTTAATAACACCCCAGGGCATGTTATAGTTAAACATGATTATTATGTTCGTATCTAAAAATTGCCTCCTAAAATTGTACTTTGCTGGAATTTAAGGTAATTGGCTGTTATGCGAGTGCTTAGAATGCAATTTTTAATTACTTCCCGGCCATGAAATAGGTGCAAAAATTGTAATATTACTGTTTTTCGATATGTTTTTTGCGTGTTTGCTTAATTTCGAAGCAAATTTGCAAATCTTGATTACATTTCGAAAATTTCCAGCGCCTCCGCAACCTTCACAATGAACTCCTCACTTCCCATACAGACCTAACATATTCAGCTCTCAATGTCCAACCTCACCTAGCCATGTTCACGGTCCTCACGTTGGCCACGCAGATCCTCAGCAACTTCAATGTGATCGCGCAGACGCTGGAGCAGGCCAACAACTTTGGCTCCCACCAGAATCACATCAAACAACTGCGAATACCGGGCGATCTGATCATTGGCGGGGTTTTTCCCGTGCACGCCAAAGGACCGCAGGGCGGTGGGCCATGCGGCGAGATCAGCGAGACCAGGTGGGAAATGGGAGGTTTGGGGGTTGCTTTACAGTTGTACATAGAAGTAAATACTTCAAGTGCATCACTTTAATTTTTGCTAAAATTTAGTACAAACTTATGTCAGAGCATGAAAAAAAGCTTTTTATTAGCCTGTCGGGAAAATAATGAGCACTCTATCGCATCGAAAATCTAGAATCGCCGCCGAGAAAATCAATAGTGTCGCGGCAAAATCAAGTTACTTTTCACCGCAGCGACATTGTGCTCATTATTTTCTCTACAGACTGGTAAAAAACTCGCTGTTTTTTTACTCACGTTCTGCGAATAAATGGTACCAAATTTTACCAAAAATTTTTTTTTCTGTCCGCTTTCCGTATTACCCTCTTACCTTTGGAGATGGCAAAAAATTGAGCTGCGACTTTTATGAAAGAATACTAGTAATGGAACTTCATTAAAAAATATCCATGCAAAGCTAATCTTTTCATATCAATCATCAATTTCCAGAGGTGTTCATCGGGTTGAAGCAATGTTATATGCCTTAGACATCATAAACTCACAGCCCGACTTTCTCAGAGGATACAAACTTGTAAGTCGCTTTTATTTGACCATATATCAGTCTGCGAATTTGTTGGGAAAATAATGGGCCCAATGCCGGTGCGCCGATCATGTCGCTGAAATCGAAAACAATTCGATTTTGCCACAACACAATTAATTTTCTCGGCGGCAATACAATTTTGAATGCTACAGAGTGCTCATTATTTTCCCGACAGACTGATAGCTCAATTATTTCGGCATCTTCCCATTCCTAACGACATTTGCTGACAAAATTTACAGTAATTTATGACCTTCCAGGGTGCTCTAATATTGGATTCCTGCAGTAATCCCTCGTACGCTTTGAATCAAAGTTTGGATTTTGTCCGTGATATGATTGGCTCCACCGACTCCTCCGAATATCAATGTGGCGACGGCTCACAGCCCGCGTTGCGGAATACACCGAAGAAAAAGGTGGTGGCAGTCGTTGGAGCGTCTTATTCGTCGGTTACTGTGCAGGTGAGGTGGTGTAATTTAGGCTTGTAAAATTTAAATTCAATTTTGATGACTATTTTCGTTTCAGATAGCAAATCTACTGCGGCTATTTCGGATAGTTCAAGTCAGTCCGGCCAGCACAAATGCCGATCTCAGCGATAAAAGTCGCTTCGAATTTTTCGCGAGGTAACTTTTTAAATACCGTAGAGTGTAGTAAATATAATATATGTCGCCTCTGTACAACAAATCCCGATATATCAAAAACTCTGTGTAACGTTGTTTTTGTTGTTGTTTCAAGGGGCCCAAGAGTCAATTTAAGGTCAAAATAGACCCCTGTACACCGAAAACTTTCTATAACGAATATGTCTTCTTGGTCCCACAATTCGTTCTACAGAGGTTTGACTGCATTTTGCCCCCTATTTTATAACTTTTTTCATATTTTTTTTAATTTTTATTTTTCAGAACAGTCCCCAGCGACACTTATCAAGCTCGGGCGATGGGTGAGATCGCCGCCAAGTTCAATTGGACGTATGTTTCGCTAGTCTACTCGGCCGATGAATATGGAGAGCTTGGAGCGGACGCGTTCAAAAGAGAGGCCCGCAAGTTGAACATTTGCATCGCGGCGGAAGAAAGGTTGTCGATTAATGATTTGTCATCAATCAAAGAGTCCGTGGGGAATTTGGTGAAAAAGTAAGTGGACAGTCAATCTCAACGATGAATCAAGTACGTTTCAAACTTTTGAAATCGTTGGCTACAGACAGGGTTCGTTGCACGGGAGTTGTGCATCAAAACAAAAGGTTTTTACTGTAATTTACCGTTAGTATATTTTCACTAAACTTCCAGCAGTGTCTGGGGATCAAAGCTAAGAAATATCGAACATAGATCATATTAAAATTTAATTAAAAGTTGATTTTGTGACCATTCCTGCATAACCCGATTTTTCAGGCTCCAACCTGACAAAGATGTGGGCGCCCGAGTGGTTGTTCTCTTCGTTGGCACTGAGTACATTCCCATTCTAATGCAAACAACGGCAAATGAGATAAAACAGTATGGCCTCAACAAGAAGAATATTATCTGGTAAGCGCCTTATTGTCATTTCTTTGGAAGATATAAAAAATCACGGCCTCCGGGATGGTAATTCAAAGTTTCCTTACTTTCAGGCTTGCTAGTGAGAGTTGGGATCGCAATAATGAGGCGTATACGTCCGGAGCAAGGCGGCTGGCCGCCGAGGGCGCGATTGTTTTGATGTTGGAGTCGCAACGGGTACCCAGTTTCGAAAATGTGAGTTTTAACATTTTTTTGATGACAAACAAATTGCGCTTGGTTTAAAATACGTTGCACAAATTTTTTCAGTACTATTTATCGCTTTATCCGGGTCAAGAGAAGTTCGAACGAAACAAATGGTTGAGGGAGTTGTGGCGGAGGAAATTCAATTGCGAATTCGATTTGCCGGAGGACACAACGATCAATCGGTAAGACAGTGAAATTTTGAACCAGCATACAACAAAAGCTGCCTATAACAAACAGTTTCAGATATAGTAAAAGTCATTTATACGCTAAAACAAAACTCGCTAAAACGAAACCTCTCAATAACAACAACATTTCTTGGCCTCTTGCCATTTGTTGCACAGAAACCTGACTATATTTTATTGACTTCTACTGCGATATTTCCAAATTTTTTTATCTTTTTTCTAGCCTATCTAAATATTATATGTATAATAAATACATATTTCATTTACAGCTGTGAAGCCCAACGGGAATCGCGTGAAAGTTTCACTCCCGACGACAAAATCCAATTCGTCATTGAGGCCGTGTTCGCCATCGCGCACGGCCTTCAGGAGATGAAGAACGAGCACTGCAAACAAGATACAATCGAAACTTCATGGATCTCTCGCCACTCCGGATATCCGCAGATCTGCGCCGCCATGAGACACATTGATGGCGCCGATTTTTACACCAAATACCTGCTGAATGTCACATTCTCCGACTTGGTGGGACGGCAGGTCCATTTCAGCCCCGAGGGTGATGGGCCGGCGCATTACACGATTTTGAATTATCAACCGGATCGACAGAACAAAGTGGGGAGTCGGACGAGCAGTGACTACGTGGAAGTGGGGAGCTGGTCGGAGAGGAAGGTGAGGAGAATCTGCCGACAGAAAAGTATTAGGTTGATGCATAATTATCAGGCGTTTTTTCAACAAGTTGCGCGATTAGCTTTGTTGTTGTCGGAGGGTTCGTGAGGGACCCATCCAGCCAATTTCCATACCTAATAACAAAAATCGGGAAGATAAGATATCAGTCTACTGGAAAAATAATGAGCAGAACATAGCTTACCGATCGCGTCACTGAAGTAAAAGACAATTTGATTTCGCCGCAACATAATTGATTTTCTCGGCGGCGATGCGGTTTTCAATGCGATATTGAGCTCATTATTTTCCAGACAGACTCATAGCAAAATTCGTGGCACTGCGGGTCGGGTCAAGTTTTTTTCATGGGGTGGTCAAGTCTTTCCCCTAATATTATTTTTTCCCCGAAATTCAGACTGTTATATGGGAGGTTAATCAAGGTAAATCTGGTCAGTTCTTGTTGATTATTTCAAGAACAAGTCTTATTCTATTTTTAGAAATCAAATTTGATTGAATTACGGTGTGGGTTTGCCTCAATTTTTAGCATTCTTTGGGGGTATGTATTCTATACCTAAATGATCAATTGTGAGACAGTTTCAAGTCTGATTTACGATATCGTTTCCATTTCACCTTCGGACGTACGCCACCTGTCCAATAAAGGTAAGTAACTGTGAATCTGGTAGTCCGTTTTTTAGTAATTAAAGATTTTGTATATTATTCTAGGTTATTCAGAAAATTTTGTACGGGATTTGCCTGGTTTTCCCTCAAAATCACGTCCAACATATTAATTTTACTGTCCTAACCACGTTTTCCATCACCAGAGGTCTTCACAGATGTGATCCAGACGTTATACGTTACAGGGATCATGTATAACATCCGCCTGAAAAAAACGCTAGATTGGTCTCAAACACATTTTTGCTTCGCTTGATGATCCTCGAAAGTATTTTCTTTGATTTTTATGAAAATTCCGCATAGTTTGGGCGTTGAATTTCATCTCTACCTAAAATCTGCATCAACTTTGGACACAAAGAAAAAGTCTAAAAGAGAAGGAGAAACCTGTCCACTTACGTTTTTATAGGCACTAGAGACCAATATTACGCTAAATAATCTAATCCAGGCCGAAAACTTGGCAAATCTCAACAAAAATCTTCAAAAGTACCTAGTATAATATACAAAATCTTTAATTACTAGAAAACGGACTACCAGATTCACAGTTACTTACCTTTATTGGACAGGTGGCGTACGTCCGAAGGTGAAATGGAAACGATATCGTAAATCAGACTTGAAACTGTCTCACAATTGATCATTTAGGTATAGAATACATGCCCCCAAGGAATGCTAAAAATTGAGGCAAACCCACACCGTAATTCAATCAAATTTGATTTCTAAAAATAGAATAAGACTTGTTCTTGAAATAATCAACAAGAACTGACCAGATTTACCTTGATTAATCTCCCATATAACAGTCTGAATTTCGGGGAAAAAATAATATTAGGGGAAAGACTTGACCACCCCATGAAAAAAACTTGACCCGACCCGCAGTGCGTGGTGCTGTTTCCAGAATTTCCCCACATTTTGCAAAGATTTTTGCCATGCAAATGGATTACAATGAGGGATGAGGGACCTGATCCAGTGGCAAAAAAACGCCCGCCACTGTAGTTTTCAAAAATTTTTGCTCCAATTTTACTTGGCCAATTTTCATGCCTCAAACCGTGATTTTTTGTCAGCCTTTGACGTAAAAATATAGTCAAAAAATAAGTACAACCAAATCTTTTGCAACCAAGCCTGCCTACAACAAATAATTTCAAAGGTTCTAAAAGTCAATTTTAGGCCAAAATTCTCCTTTATAAAAAATTTCTTGAGCTCTGAGATTAGTTGTACAGAGGTTTCAATATCTTTTTAAAACCCCTCCTCTACATTTCATCTTCAATTTTCAGCTCGAAATCGACCATAATGCAATGTTCTGGGCTGCTGAGGAGGGCGGAAAGATCCCAATCTCCCAATGCAGTATGCCTTGCCCGGTTGGCTACAAAAAACAGTTAATAAAGTCGGACGAAGTCTGTTGCTGGGCCTGCGGAAAGTGCGAAGACTACGAGTACTTGATCAATGACACAACTTGTATGGACTGTGGCCAAGGACGATGGCCAAAGCCCGACCGGAAGTCCTGCTTCGACCTGAAGGACCGGCATTTACGTTACATGCGCTGGAACAGCTACTATTCGATTGTGCCGTGCATTTTTGCGGTCATTGGAATTACAGTAACCTTGTTTGTGATTGCATGCTACGCGATCTATAATGACACGCCGGTGGTTAAAGCGTCGGGCAGAGAACTGTCGTACATCTTGCTGATATCGCTGATCATGTGCTATTCGATGACGTTTGTGTTGATTTCGCCGCCAACAACTTTTGCGTGCGCTGTGAAACGGACCGGTAAGTTGGGCGCGAACACAGATTGACTTCTTTTGCGCTACCGCCTAGGTCCTCCCTGCAAAATTCTGAAAATTCTACAAGGAAATGCGACGCTCAGATTTTGATGAAATTTGGCGCAAATTTACAACAATTTTTTCAACACATATACAAGATTTCTAGCTGGTTTTTTGAAGGAACTACCGAGATCTTTAAGACAAAATTTGGTAAAAGATGACGCACTTTTTTGCGAATTTTGGCACAAAAAGTTCCATGTATATTTTCACCGCAGAGTGTGATGTTTCGATTAAAAAATATTTTTTTTGCGCAAAACTGGCAAAGATATAACCAAAGAGTGTTTCTCTCTGACCGGTCTGCGCGTTTTACACATTCTCTCGGCCGAAAAGATCCTTGAATATCTCCGCTGCGCCTTCAAATCGCGGGCTAGAATTTTGAGGAATTGATATGTGGATTATGTCTGACGCGTATGCAAGCTCCAAAGAAAATCTGAGACGGCTTCTATGCAAAAGCAAAATCAAAGCAAGACTATCAGCAGCGTATTTTAAACTCAATCTTATTTCTATATTTCTTTTTCAGGCATCGGATTTGCCTTCTCCGTTCTCTACTCTGCATTGCTCGTCAAAACCAACCGAGTCCATCGAATTTTCGCCTCCGCAACTCGATCCGCGAAACGCCCAGCCTGCATCTCACCTTCCAGCCAAATCGTTCTCACCTGCATTCTGGCCGGCGTTCAACTAATCGGCTCCATTTTCTGGCTCTTTATTGTGCCTGCGGGCACAAGAATCGACCATCCGACCAGAGATCAGGTCGTGTTGACCTGCAATGTGCCGGATCATCATTTCTTGTATTCGTTGGCGTATGATGGCGCGTTGTTGATTACGTGCACCGTTTTCGCCGTGATGACAAGAAAAGTCCCCGAGAATTTCAACGAGACAAAATTCGTGGGGTTCAGCATGTACACAACGTGTGTTATTTGGGTCTCATGGATCGCGTTCTTCTTCGGGACGGCGAATAATTTTGAGGTGAGCGAGGAAATTATTTGTTTTGTAAAATACGAAAAATCCTAAAAATTACACAAAAATTAGATTTTCCGACATTTTAAGGGCAAGAAAATACATTTTTTGGGATTTTATTCAAAAAGCTCAGTAAGATCTTCAACAAAAAATAGTCTTTTCAGACTCGAATTCAAACAAAAAGTATTGCAAAAAAGTTATTTTTCTCTTCGACTTTCCGCATTTTCCGCACTCTCTCATCCGCAAAGACCGCTGAGAATCTAGGCTACAATTTCAAAACTACATAATATTATACTTTCAAGCGTTAAAATACAGGGTACTTATCAGTCTGTCGGGAAAATAATGAGCACTGTGCCGCATCGAAAATCGCATCGCCGTCGAGAAAATGAAGTTTGTCGTGGTAAAATCAAATTTCTTTTCACTTTAGCGATGGAATTATGCTCATTATTTTCCCGACAGACTGATAGGACTAAATTTAAAAAAATTTTTTTTGAGTGACCCCGAATTCGAGTAAAAACTCTCTTTATATTCATAATTTTTTTGGACAAAAAAATATGAGCTTCGTCCTTAAACTGATTTCCATGTCAAATCATATTTTATTACGTTAATTTCCAGATTCAAACCACCTCGCTTTGCATATCAATCTCCATGTCCGCAAATGTGGTTTTGGCGTGCATTTTCTCGCCGAAACTTTGGATCATCTTCTTCGAGAAGCACAAAAATAAGCCCGAAGGCTTCGAAAACAGTGTCCACAAGAAATGGAATTCAAAGTGAGTTCAATTAAAAAAAATTTTTTTTTTATTTTTTTTTTGAAAAATATTCAAAATTTTCTTCCAGTTACAACTCGATTGCCCGCCACAACACTGTAAATCATAGCAACAATGCGAGCAATCATCGCGATACCTCAAACACGTCGACGGAAAAAGAGGACCCCGACATTTACACGGGTTTGTTGTCCAATCAACGAAGACGCAGCAGTCGGAAACAGTCGGAGAAGGACAGTACCAGTACGATCAATGCGCATGACACTTTCTTGTAAATAAATTGAATCGACTTTTCTGTGAAAAAATCTTGATTTTTTATTGCAATCAATGCGAGAAGTTCAAAAAATATAAAAACCAAGACTTCCGGGCTCCAAGCAACTCGGGCCAGTGTAAACGTATCAGCGTGTCGGGAAAATAATGAGAACAATGTCGCTGCGCCGATTGATGAAGTTAAAAGCAATTTGATTTTGCAACGACACAATTCATTTTCTCGGCAGCGATGCGATTTTGAACCTTGAAATACCTCAAATAAGATAGCTTAAAAAATTAGATTGGATCGGGATTCGCCTCAACGACTAGATAAGGGCTCAAAGGCCCCTGAATTACCAAAATAACAAACTCCTAGCAAGAAATTTGGCGAGACATTTATGGAAACTCAGAGTCGATCTAATTTATGGAGTTTTGAAAATCTCTGCGGTCTGTGATAACTGCAAGCGAAACTTTGCACATCTTTTATTGTTTGAAAAAAGTTGTTCGAGATTTGTGCCAGCTTTCATTAATTGGGAATGTTGCTCTTGGAGTGCTTTTGTTCTCAATTTTTGATATACCAATCTATCAGTCTGTCGGGAAAATAGCGACTGCGATTTCGCTGCGCCAATCGACGCTGAAGTTAAAAGCAATTTGATTTTGTCGCTACACAATTCATTTTCGATACGACAGAGTGCTTATTATTTTCCCTACAGACTGATTGCTGTCCATACATATTTAACTATATTCAAACTATCTTTGGCATCTTTGCCATTTCCCTTCAATGTTTTCCAGTACAAATCCCTTCTTTTCTCGCATTTCAGGTCATTTGGTCATCAAATGGACATCGGGTTTCTAAGAGACCACGAAATAAATAGTCGGCTTTGTATTATTTTTTAGTCTTGTATCATTCTTAGCAAGTGTCATGCCATTTCTCAATTGATAAACCCCAAACATTCTGGTGGATCTGACCCACCTTTCCTCTTCTCCTTCTTCGATTCTCTTCCCTTCAAGATTCCGCAAAATTCGCAGGTGGATCGGAAGAGAGAGGAGAGAGATTCATTGCCTGCGGGCGAACAGAAAATGGAAAACGGAATCCGGCGCAAAAATTTTTCGTTCGGGATTTCGCGCGGCGCGCTGGGATGTGTTGGCTGTGCGGAGGGCACCCGAGTTCCATGACGGAAAATCTCGCGCGAGAGTGGAGGTATCCCGGATCGAAGTTCGGGATACCTTCGATATCTCTTCGGGCGCGTTGCTGCACGGGATTTTATTTGAATTAGCGCGCGCACCTCAAGCCGCTGACCCGCCCCGTAAAATGGGTGAAGATCCAGGAAATTTTCGGGCAAGCCATCTTCAGGTCATCGCCAACTTAAACCAGACGCTTATTTAACAGTTGTGCGGGGTTGCGGGGTGAGTGGGCGAAAGTGAATTTTTGAGGCGAAAGGCATTGAAATTTTCGGAAATACCATGCCTCTATGAAGTTGTCTTGTCATCTTCATCGGTTCAATTTTTATTTTAGTCCCAATTTAGATTGTTTTGTCAGAAGCAACAACTATTTTTAAGGATACATGATCTACACGTCCACTAGTTCAAACTTAAAGTCCCACCTTCCCGTGTACGAGTATCTTAAGACAGCCTTGTTTTATCAGCATACTATTTTCAGTATTCCCCGCAAAATGCGTTACGCTTTGGCGTTGACAGCGCTAGCTGTCTGTGCCCTCGCTCAAAGCCCGGATGAGACAGTTGTGGTCCGCCTAGAGCCCCAATCCGTGATTCGCGCCGTTCCCCAAGCACCCAGAGCCATGGAGCCGGTCGCAACTCCACCTGCAGCCGTCCACCAACGCCAAATGCCGCCACCATCGGCACAACAGCCTCAAGCCCGCGCTCCGGTCGCCTCTCAGCAACCTCAACAAGTTGCTTCGCCCGCTCCGCAACCCGCTCAGCCTGCCGAGCAGGTGCGACAGGTTCATAGTGCTGCCGCTGCTCCAGGAATTCGAGCGCAAACTCCCACTTTGCCTCAGGCCGGTATTGCTGGAGCTCAAGAGTTTACTCCAAGAGAAAGTGCTGTCCCCCCACAGGCTCCACCAGTCAACATTCCTCCAGATGTTCAGAACCAGCTGATCAAATTCTTCGGGCTTGATTCCTTCGGAATTCCAGGTCTGACCGGAAGCCATCCCGATGGATTTGCTGGAGCTGTCCAGGAAATGCGAGCTGCCGGAATCCCTATTCAAGGCCTTCCTCTTGACCATGTTGCAGGTCAACCAGTTCCGGCCGCCAACGCTAATGCACAGCCCGACCTTTTGGGTCAAGCCAACCCCAACTTTGCCCTGAACAACATCATGAATGACGCTTCGAATGTCCCACACACCGCTGGCTCCATTCCTCTGCCAGATGCCAAGCCAGGAGAGAATGGACTCATCGGGTTGTTGAGCTCTTCCATCAGGAAGTTGGTCAAGGATTGTAAGTCTATTTGCTGATGTTTTGACTGCTCAAACTTTGTGAAACGTTCCAAATTCTTGCCTTTTGAACTGATCTTCAACCTTCATTTAACCCCTCATTTTCAGCCGGAGTTGCCGACGCTCTAGCTCAAGGACTTCCCAACGTCTTGGGCACCAACAACCTCCCAACTGGCCAAGCCAACGGTCCCACCTCCTCCGCCGTCGCCGGAGCTTCTCGCTCCTTCAGCCAGGACGAGGCTCCCGCTCTAGCCGCTGGAAACCGTCCCTCTGAAGTTGCCGTGAATGCCGGAGGCGTTCGTCGTCAACAATCAACCGCCGAGCGCGCCTTGAGTGGATTTGCTGCCGCTTTGGGAGGTGGCGGTCAGAACGGGCCATCTCACGCCGGACTTCCTCGAATCCCCGGTATTCCCATTTTGCCCGGAGGTATTCCACGTAACGCTCAAGGACAGATCGACGTAGTAAACCTTATCGGATCTATTACTCGCCGAGTCTCAAATGGCACCACTTTGGCCGATGTTTTGCCACCAGAGCAGCTTCAAACTCTTGCCGACAACGTTACTGACGCTCTGTTGCCCGCTACTCCCGAAGACTTCGACTTAAACAAGTTCATGGGCCGTTGGTTCGAAGGAATCAACTCCCCGAGAGCTTCGGAGCAACGATGTGTTGTACATCATTACGGAGGATTGACCAAGAACGATAAGACCGCCACGTTTACGGCGTTGAAGATCTACAGAGAGGGATCGGAGTTCGGGTCGGTCAGATACTCGATTGGATACGCGTTCAGAGCCGGAAACAAGGATGCCATGTTGCAATTGCATAGCAGCGAGAACAGTGATGCACAGCCTTGTAAGTGGAAATTCTCTTATTATCTTTGGAGCGCTCTCTGATCCATCAAACGTGTAAAAAATCACCATTTTGTAACCCTCTCGTTCTAACTCTACCTTTTTCAGTCTGGGTCTACAAACTCGGTCCCGAAGGCACGGATCCCTTCGGCAACAAGCAATACGAATATGCCATCGTGTCCAACTGGGTGAAATACCCCGTGACCGTGCTCGTCCGCGACCCCGACACCTTCAAAGCCAAATACGAGTTGGAGGTGTTGCGTTGGCTGGAGGACCAAGGCTTCATCAACGGCTTCGTGCGCGCCTTCAACCTGCTGCAGCCCGCCTCCTACTCGTCGTGCCAGTATGCCGACAATACGTTCGAGTTGTTCGGGAAGAAATAACTGATCTAAGACCTCTGTGTGTACATCTCATTTCCATTTTTGTTTTGTTTTCGCCCAAAGATTGATGCATATTGTTGCGGACAATATCCATGCGAGTTTTTTTTTTTGAAAAATGTCTAATAACCCTGAATAATTAATAAATATGAAAAAAATTGATATTTGGATTATTTTTAGCGACTCCTAAATGCGCTGCGTGTCTTAAAAAAGATCCAAAAACTTTTTTCCGACTGCACTGTGCAAAAAATAAATTTCTTTTTTTGCACAGTGCAAAGAAAAAAATCGTTGTTGCCTATTTTCAAGGTGTAAAATTTGTGTCTATTCAATAAAAATATCAACTTAACTTGACGCCATAAAAGGTCAGTAACCAAAAAATCCTATTTTTTTCTACCTCACAATGAATTCTCAAGCTTTCCTTTTTTTGCACTGTGCAGTTTTTCTCTGAGCCTTCTGCACCGTGCAGACATCCCTAATCTTCTTCAAAATCGCTTTTTTGCACTTTCATCTTCGCCCCCGTCAACCTGGATCTCAAAAATCCAAGGAATCAAATCCCGCAATCATTGCGACGTATCTTCGCCGACCCGCTTTTTCTTTCATCCGCGCGAGGCCGTTCATCGTTTCGCTTTCGACGCGGGATCATCCGCCGACCGACTGACCCAAATTTCCACTTTTCCATTCTAATTGTTATCCAATATCTTGAATGATGGGAATTTTGATCATATTTCTTATGATAGCGAGATAAAATTGAAGACTCAAAGAGATCATCCAAAACGAAGAGGGGTGAATAAAACGCAATATTATTCATAGCTCATAAACTTCGAAATAGAGTCGAGTTTTTGAGCTTTTGCAAACCAGTAGTGAAACCAGTCGCATTCGAGATTATGCATGCCATTTTGGGCAACGAAACCGGTTAGTTGCGAAATCAAGGTGACAAAAAATAGATCGCCATACGGCCATGACGACCAAAAATAGTCATCACACATTTATCAAAAGCTAATCTACTGCCCTTCTTCAAAATATTAGGTCGTCCAGAAGATTCGTTCGTTTTTTCATTGCTTTGTTTTACAAGCACTGTTTGTTCTTTGGCAAATGGAATATATTTATTTGATACCGCTTTTTCTCCTCTACAAAACTGGCAGTAACAAATAAATATATACCCCTTGCCGAACAACAAACAATCCTCGTAAAACAAAGCAATAAAAAAACAAACAAACTTTCTGGACGAGCTAATATAATATTAGTCTTCTTTTCTTCGTCAAACTGCGTCATAATTACTTATTGCATTACCAATCCCATAAATCATATATCAAATCTTCTCAAATGACCAGGGGCCTGTCCCACTAAGAAAGCGTAGCGCGAATCACGAATTGGAAGCGCGAAAAATCATGCGAAAGTGAGAGAGTCGAGAGAAAAAGCGGGCTCTCTCGGAAATCCGCGCTACGGTTTTTTTGTGCTAACTACCGAAATTTTTTTTACTTTTTTTGCCATAACTTCTTTCAAAGACGTCCGATTTACATGATTTTAAAAATCATGAACAGAGGAGACCAACAGCTTCCAGAAAATGTAAATTTTGTTTGCTTTAACGCAGATTAAGGCTTCCCGCCTGGACGAATTACAATTTCCTCCTCAAGAATCACGATTACAAAATGTCGTATTTTCAAGTAAAACTTATCCTTAAACTACTCATCATAACCCCCAACGTTCATATTGTCATTTATCAGCCCAAACTGCCCCTTCCAAGCCCAAACTGCCCCTTCCAAGCCCAATTTTGACCTCCTCTTGCCATAATTTGTTTGGATCGCAAAAAAATTTAAGTTTGATTTTTTTTTTAAAAAAATACTCTATTCGTCATTCAGAGGGACTGGGTCGGTTTTATCAGCCCAAATTAGCCCTTCCAAGCCCAATTTTGATCGCCCCTTGCCATAATTTGTTTGATTGCACACGGAGACACTCCTGGAACGTCCCATTGAATAATTAATCGCGCTTTCGTTGTTATTTGAAAACGTTTGTTGAAGAGGAGGTCAAAATTGGGCTTGGCAGGGCTAATTTGGGCTGATAAAACCGCCCCAGTCCCTCTGGGAGATGAATGGAATAATTTTTTTTTTTAAAAATTTTTAAATGTAAATGTTTTTGTGATTCAAATAAATTATGGCAAGGGGCGATCAAAATTGGGCTTGGAAGGGCTAATTTGGGCTGATAAAACCGACCCAGTCCCTCTGAATGACGAATAGAGTATTTTTTTTTTAAATCAAACTTAAATTTTTTTGCGATCCAAACAAATTATGGCAAGAGGAGGTCAAAATTAGGCTTGGAAGGGGCAGTTTGGGCTTGGGAGGGACAGTTTGGGCTGATAAATGACAATATGAACGTTGGGGGTTATGATGAGTAGATTAAGGATAAATTTTACTTGAAAATACGACATTTTGGAATCGTGATTCTTGAGGAGGAAATTGTAATTCGTCCAGGCGGGAAGCCTTAATCTGCGTTAAAGCAAACAAAATTTACATTTTCTGGAAGCTGTTGGTCTCCTCTGTTCATGATTTTTAAAATCATGTAAATCGGACGTCTTTGAAAGAAGTTATGGCAAAAAAAGTAAAAAAAATTCGGTATTTAGCACAAAAAAACCGTAGCGCGGATTTCCGAGAGAGCCCGCTTTTTCTCTCGACTCTCTCACTTTCGCATGATTTTTCGCGCTTCCAATTCGTGATTCGCGCTACGCTTTCTTAGTGGGACAGGCCCCAGATTTTCTCAATTTACGAGTCGATTTCGCCATCCGCAGTGCCATCTTCGCCGCAACAGGGTCAGTTGATCGGATCCGGAGAGGAGAACCCGAAAGGGAAAACCGATCGGAAAGAGTCAGCGGCGCGAATCCACGAAATATCAGCGGGCAGTGGGCATTGTTACTTTATAAATAAAAATGCCATCGGAGGGTCGCGAGATCGGGGGTTTGGAGTGAATTTTTTAAATTCTGATAGAGATATTAGAGGGTCTAAAGTAGTATTGGGATGAGTTGCGAAACAACACGCCCGGGAGAGCAATTTTAGACAAGTTTTTAACTCATTTTCTGGATTTGACCAAAAATTTTCGAAGATTATGACATTTTTTAGATCTATTTGGGAAGTCCAAGTCTTGAATCTCTAAGCAAATGAAAGAAATCATACCATAATAGCTTACTATACCCTTACATCAGCAAAAAATTCCGTAATTTCGCGAATTCCCCATTTTTTCTATTGCGAAAATAAATTCTAACTACTCTTGTTTCAGACAGTAAACCATGTCGAAATACCTTCTACTAGCTATGCTGCCTTTAACGGCCTTTGGAATTGGAGAAAATCCAGTAAGTCATCTTACAATAACTACCCTTACAGCATAGTGTAAAAAAATTACTTTTACGTCCAAAAAATCATCTTTCTATTTTAGATGGACCTCCAAACTATGGCCGGAGTCATCACAGGGATTGGCCATATGCTTCAAAATCAAGTCGACACAATTGATGTGCCAACGAGTTTGATTATGGGAAAATGGTATCAAGTGTACAAAGCGGCAGTCAATTTTGACATGTACAGGAATCAGATGTACTGCCCAATCGCTTACTGCAAGTTATTTTTTTATTTTTGTCGTCAATACCTATAGATTATTGTTTTTCCACCGCACAGTGCAGAAATCAAAAGTTTAATTTTTGCACTGTGCGCCAATTTTGCAAAGTTTATAGCTTACTCAGTTGGGTATAGATATGTTCCAAATTTTGAACATTAGCAAGCAGCATAATAAACATTAATTCGATTGTTTTTAAATCTGGATCTGTGCAACACACAGTGCAAAAAACGAAAGCCAAAATTTCTGCACCGTGCGGCTGCCTTTCGTTACAACAAATCTGCTAGACAAAAAAACAATAAAAAGATTGTTTGAAATACTCCTTTCATTCATAACAATATCTTATTTTCAGTCAAAGAGAACCGAGTGATGGGAGAAGACGGATTCTCGATCGAAGAAGCTTACAGAGTGCACACCAAGAACGGACCAATTGAAACCTACAAAAGGGACTTGAACAAGGTCGGAACTGGACGCTACTGGATGTACACTGAAGAGTATTTCTACCCAAGACAATGTAAGTTTAGAAACACTTTCGTTGGAAAGTGTAATAAGCAAAAATTTCGACCTGCACTGTGCAAGAACTAAAATATGAAATTTTTCAATATGCGGCTGATAAAAACGATTCGTAATAGGAAAAATAGTGACGATAATAATCTAAAATTTCACAACGATGATATCTTGGAAACCATTTTGCCCGCATTGTGCAAATTTTCTCAAAAACTTTCATCGCACTGTGCACAAAACAAAAAAGTAAAAAATAAGTAAAAAAAGCAGTCAAATCTCCAAAAACTTTTTAAAATACGTGTACTTGTTCCAATTCTTCTTGATTTTCAGTCTATATCATCAAAGCCGGCCCCAACTTTGACAACGAGACCAAGATCGAAGACGCCAAGATTGAATATATTGTGGTAACCGACGCTTCCCGCATGGGATTGATGGTTTACGCGCGCGACCCAATGACTTTCTATCAACAATACAACAAGGAGGTCACCGACTTCTTGGAGGAAGCCGGATTCGGCGGGCGAATCTTCTGGAACTCTCCCAGACCCATCTATCAAGGACCTGACTGCGAGTGGCCCACTGAGAAGGAAGTGTTTGCCCGCAGGGTGCTGAAGAACCACGAGAACAACATGAGACAGCAAAATTCGAGTGAACCCGGACCAAATGCCTTCGCCGATATGCTCAAAAACCCCGAGGTCATTCTGCAAAAACTCGTTCAAATGCACTAATTGCCTCAGGCAATTATTGCAAACTTCCGATGCGAAAATTTTGCAAGAAGTTGTAATAACTGTAATAACACTCACTGAAATCTCATCCACGCCCAAAATTCGTTGTTTTTGATTGTAAATTTATAACGCTTTGATTGGATTGCTAATAAACCTGATTTTCATTGCAAATAATAAAATTGTAATTGGAAAACAGACCTTAAAAAATATAAAATAGCAGGAGGATCTTTTAGATTTCAATTTTCATTTTCTTTTTTCTAAAAAATCAAAGATTTTTTCAATTTTTTGACCTCAAACTTGTCATGGTGAACATAAAACAAGGTCAATCGACACTAAAAATAAAAAATGATCCTTCCATTTCATAATATACTCCATTTCAAGACTAAATAAGTGCCCGTTTAAGCCATTCCCAGCAAAATTTTTTATTTTTATCCTACCTTCCATCTTATTTTTTATATAGCAATATCTCAAAACCTCTTATCAACTAAACTTTGAAAATTTAAACCCTGTAACTGATCACACTATCAAGTATCTCCTTCCAAGTTCCATAAAAATCCAAGCAATTCAAACCGAGATATCATGAGTTGAACATTGATACCTACTACAACATCAAAATCGTTTTGAGATCCAAATTTTTTATTCATAATCAATTTTTGAGACCTCCAAATTGAATAAAAATACTAGATTATTACCAAAAACCGCCAAAAGACTATCCAAAAATACTGAAATTACCGTATACTATCTAAAGAGTCGGAAAGACCACAAAAATTTACAAAAATCATCCAAAAAAAAATACCAAAAGACGGACTTTAAAAGACCTATCCACAATCTTGCTATAATTTCCAACCCACTAATATACAAATTACTTATCTGACTGACTCTTCTCCACATCAGAGATTGAAATCCACAAAAATCCATTCGAATCCAGTTGATCCTTCTTTTTAGAGCCTTGAAACTTGACCAATCCTTCATCAAAGTTGCAATCAAGCAAAAGCTGAGAGATCATTTCCCTAGCCGACCCGTCATTTGACAGAAGTAGCCATTTGCTGATTAGTTTAAGGGGCCATTTCGCAATCGGTGATTGGCTTGCGGAATGGAGAGCGGTGAGGGCAAGAACTCGCATTTCTGAGATCGCTGATGATAGGGCATATCTGAAAATGGCCAGTAAAAATATTATCCACCGTTTTTGATTATACATCTACTTCATGATTTCGCTTTTCAGCAATAAAAAATTTTGGCGCCAAATCCAAAATTCAAATTTTTACAACATCCAAAACTCAAAGAAAAATCAAAAAGAACTGGCAGCTCTGAGGTCGCTGATGATAGGGCATATCCGAAAATGGTCGATAAAAATATTATCCAACAATTTTAATTATCAATTTACACCCAGACTTCTTTTTCCACCAATAAAAAATTTTGGCGCCAAATCCAAAATTCAAATTTTTAAAAAATCCAAAACTCAAAGAAAAATTTAAAAAAAAACTTCTTTCACCTCACTTACTTATAATATTCCTCCAAACCGTTCACTATCCTAAAGAAACGAACAAAATTTCCAGTGACATACGCTGATATCAACATCATCATTGTTTCATATTTTTCGTCCAAGATTTTCTTTTGACCATGAACAATATTGACAATATCGGGGCGTTGGATTGAATGCAAAATGTAAATAATTGTCGTCTAAACAAACAAATAAATAATTTAGCCAAACTTGATCTCCGCACTGTGCAGATGACCTACTTCTTGACTGGAATGCTGGGCTTCAAACCATCGCTCGAGGGTCTCTGTCAATTCTCGTTGATGATGCACTCGAACATACGTCGATGTGGTAAGACGTTCACATCTGAAAATATTTTGATCAAAAGTTACAGCAAATTTAAAAATCTTGGACTGCACTGTGCGAATTTTTGATAAAAAAAACTGCGCACAGTGCGGCCAAAAAAACAAAAAAAAAATAATTTTTTTCGTTTAAAAAATCAAAAAACTTATCTCAAAATGCCTCAATCACCTACCGATAGCCACTGCGTAGATAAAATTTGATGATTTTTTCATAAATTTCTCCAGCTTTGGGGTCTTTATGCTTGTTTTGTACTATAATATCCTGTCGAATGGCTCTTAATCGGTCATTTATGTATTCGTAGACCAACGACCATTGATGATCTGCTGGGAACTCCTTTTCCAGCGATTCTAGATAGTTTATCTGAAATTTATTCGAATTAAAAATGGGGTATTTTTGAAAATTTTCCATTTTTCCTGATATTTCGATAAAAAATTGCAAAATTTTGAGAAAAATCATAATTTTACAAGGAATAAAAATGGTAATTAGCTGATGGGAAATGAAAGAATATAGCTCAGAAAATCATTCGAAACTCCATTAAACTTCAAAAAAAGTTTCTTTCAGCCGATTTCATCAAAGTTTTGACTAAAACAATATAAATTTCCGATTTCTTTGTCAAAATCAATGCCACTACCGCTCAAACCAACATTCCACCCTTTAAAAACCCCCAAAACATCTTCTGCTTACCGTTTCCAAGCAGGCATCCAGCGTTCTCACATCATTCGGATCAATTTTCTTCGCCGCTGCTGATCGACAATAACTTTTGCAAATTCGACTTGGATCCGGGACTCTTTTTACTGGATGAATTTTAGCGAACGGTTCTCTAGTCTCCAACGCATGTAATAGGCCGTTGTCCGAGCGGAATTTCAGCTCTTTTTGGGGGCATTTTGTTGTACAACGGGCTTTGAACATCTACTAAAAGATCAAAAAAATTTCAAAAAAATCTATGTCAAAGTTCGAATCAACTCACAAGGGAACTACCCCAAGTGCGACGCTCAGATTTTCGTTAAATTTTGCACAACACGTCGGTTATGAACTACAGTGACGGATCCGGTCCAGTGGCAAAAAACGTGCCATTTTGCATCCGTGAAGCATAAAAAATGTGTCAAAATGCTTCACTCTCCAAGTGAAAAAACTTCGCTTTCAAAAGCGCGTCCGCTCCTTCTGTGAGGAAAAAGAGCGCGCTCTTCAAAACGAAGTTTTTTCTTGGAGAGGGAAGCATTTTGCCACATTTTTTAAGCTTCCCGGATACAAAAGGGTACGTTTTTTGCTACTGAATCAGGTTCCCCACTGTAAGTATCAATTCCTGAAAGTTTTAGCTCGCGCTCTGCAAGCGCCACCGAGAAATTGAACGACCTTTGCCGCCGAGAGAGTACGCTAAACGCGTAGAGCGGTCAGAGAGAAAAACACTTTTTTAGCCATAACTTTGCTAGTTTCGTGCGGAAAAAATTGATTTTTTGTGGAAACATTACACTCTATAGTATTATAGAAATAGGCATGAAATTTTTGTGCCGAAATTCGGCAAAAAGTGTCAAATTTTCGCCAACTTTCGATCCAAAAATCTCGGTTGTTTCTGCAAAGCGCAAGCCAGGATTCTCGCATATATTTTAGAAAAAATTATTCTAAATTTGTGCCAAGTTTCATCAAAATCTGAGCGTCGCACTTGTGGTATTATACTTCCTCTGTCAACCACAATATCAATCTTTTTACGCCCTTTTCCATACAATTCCTCCTAAAATCCCCCAAAAAAATCACGAATAATCTCCATATTCTTTATCTTTCTGATACCGCAAACAAAAATCATAGATAATAATAGAATATTTACAATCCATCCGACAACGAATGGGTGATATTGAAGCTGGGGGAAACAATTTTTTATTCATTTTAGTTAAAAAACTGAGAAAAATAATAGCCAAACTGAAAAGAAGACAAAAAATCGGAAATTATTCGAATAAATATAGAGAAAAGTGTAGAGTATATTGAGGGATGGGGTGTGGGGGACAACAATAAAGGGATGGGGAGGGGGTGGGACAAGGGGGACCACATTAATTTCCAAAATTCGAGGAAACGTGGCAAAACTATGTATATTGATAAAGAAAACCGATAACAACGCTCTGAAACGAGCTCTAGATGGGGCGCGGATGTGTGCTGGAGTGGAGTTCTGATTCCCTGGGTAATTGACAATCCATGATTCTTCACAATCTTCCTTCAATTTCGCAATCCATCCAATTTTATATTCAAAAATCCAAAATTTCGTCGAAAATTACAAAAAATCCCAAAACTCCATCTACAATCGTCGCTCTTCTTCCGGATTCAACTTCCCAGTGCTCTTCATCCTCTCCTCGACCATGAACAATATAAATCCTTCTATTCCGTGATGTGGTCCGGCTCCAGACCTTGATCATACCTCCTCCAGATTTTATGGAAAAGGTCCTCCATGTCCGAGCAATATTGTCGGACATTGAAGAGGGTCGAGGTCGTTCTGGCCTTCCATACTTTTGTTCGGACGTCTGCCAGGCTAAAAGAAGACAATTTCATTTCAAAAATTTTCCAACTTTCTCTTTAATCCCTTCTTAATTCCTAAAAACCAAAGAAAAACTCAAAAAACTCACTGTGCTTTGTCGTTTCCTAATCGTACGGCCATATTTATATAATCCTCTCGGCTTTTGGCGACCAATTCCGGGCATCCGAGGGCGTGAAGTTGGCTGGAGGCTACTCGGGAAGCGAGGGTTTCCACTAAAAAATCAAATATAGCATCAAATATGGTATACTTGACCATCGAAACAGTCTCTCCAAAAAATTTAAAAAATCTTACATGGCATGGTGATCATGGGCGTCCCAGTCCACAAAATATCCATTCCAGTTGTATGGCCGTTACACAACGGGGTATCCAGACACACATCGGCCAGTTGACCTCTTCGGACATGCTCTTCTTTGGCGGCGACATTCGAAAAGACCACTTTGCTCGCCGGCAACCCCCTCTCCATGATGAATTTCAAAACATTCGCCTCTCCGTGGATTGGGAACCTCAGCAGCCACAAAACCGAGTTCGGTACTCGTTTCAGGATTTCACACCACATTTCCAGCGTGTGCGGGTCGATTTTGTAGAGCTGATTGAAATTGCAGTAGACGATCGCGTCTTCTGGGAGGCCATACTGTTGACGGGAGGTGACAATAATAGTTTTGGGGACTTCTTCACCGGTTGCGGCTTTGACATGGGTCTGAAAAATATGAAAGTCAAAGATTGAAAAATCCCAAAAATTTCAAAAAAAAAATTTACAAAAAATCTCAATTTAAAAAAAAATTTTTGTCTAAAACAATATCGTCAAGTCCAAAATTCTTTTAAAATTCCCTGTAAATATTGTTTTCCCCTATTTCACGGCCAAAACTCCCAAAAAATTTGATTTTTATACCAAAAATCGCAAAATTTTGCCTAAAAAAATATAAAATCATGGATTTTTTACTCAAAATAACCCAAAATTCCACTCCCAACCCTCCCTCATTCTGTACTCACCTGATTCAACGTCGTCAATCCATTCTGAATTGGGATTCCTTCCACTGAAGCAGCAATCATCCCAGTTCCGATCATTTGTTTGACCGGGTCGGTTGTTGGGACCTCAACCACCGGCATGATCACCTCCGTCTTTTTCATCTCCTTCTCCGGTCCATGGGAGACTTCAGTCTCTCTGACCAACGACCTTGCCGTCGTTTTGTCCAACAATGGTTGTAAATTCGTCGCATTCACAACTGTTACCGTGTCTCTCGGTTCGGCGGATTCGGTGTTTCGCTGTTCTTTGAGGATGACTCGTTCCGTCAAATGTTTGAGCATCTGTGCGTGGTCTCCGACGAAGAATGTGTGGGGAAGATAGGCCAGCTTTTCCGAGTAGGCAAAGGCGAATTCTAATGGAGAGGTGACACAATCAGTGATGATATAGTCCATAAACGGAGCGCCTGATGTTCCCGGGTAGCCGAGCCACATAACCTGAAAGAGAATGATCAATAAACTTTTGTCAGCTTGATTTTTCAAAAAAAATTTAATTTTCATTATGCACAGTGCAAAATTAAAACTTTTAATTTCCGCACTGTGCAAAAGAAATTTTCATAAACTAAACCCTGTAACTAATGCTATATGAGCCCCAAAACAAAAAAATAAATCATAAATTGCAATTTCAAACAACACAAAAGTAAAAAATAGTGTTCCAATATTCCGCACTGTGCAAAATTAAAAATTCCAAATTCCGCACAGTGCAATCGAATTTTTTAGTCTCAAACTGCCAAAAATTTTAAAAAACCCCATAATATTTAAATCTCATATAATCCTTTAAAACTTTCAACCCTTTCAAGCTCAAAAAAATTTAATTTCAACCTCCGCACCGTGCAAAAATTCCATTTTCGAATTTCTCGCACAGTGCAATCAAATTTTTAAGTCTCTAATTGCCAAAAAATTTTTAAAAACCCCATGAAATTTAAATCTCTATATAATCTTTTAGAACTTTCAAACCCTTCAAGCCCAAAAAATTTTGATTTCAACCTTTGCACCGTGTAAAAATTCCATTTTCAAATTTCTCGCACGGTGCGATCCAAATGCCTCAAAATGCCGTTCAATTTCTCACCTGAACTGGAGCCGGTCTTAGCGCAAAAATTTCATTTCTGGCTCCTTTCGTGTATCCATTCATATTCACCAGGATATGAATTCCGTCTTGATTAATTTTGTCGGCGGCGGCTCCATTGCATGGGTATTGGGTTAGGTCCACGAAATGCTCGCTTTCATTCATGATTTTGCTTCGGAACGTGGTTCCATCATTCGGTGAAAGGGCATAACAGAAAATTTCCACCTTTTCTCGTTTATGGAACCCGGGGACGGACTGCATTAGATGGCTGGTTGGGTGGTTTCCAAAGTCCGAGGAGACGTATCCGATCCGCAATCGTCCGCCGGGCTGGATTTTCCGGTACTGATATGGTGGTTTATGAAGAATCGAGATCTTTTCTATGCAGAGTTGGGCGTGTTTCGCGGCGATGGCCATGCGTTGCTGGTGGGTGAGGGGGTAGAGCATGCTGTGGTGGGGATGGACGCTCGGCAGCCGCCTTCCCTTCAGCTGATTCTCGATTATCTTCACCAATTTCTCCATTCGATAGGAATAGTCGGTCCATTCGCAAGTGATTTGATAGCAATGGATCAGGTTGCAGTAGGCATCCGGAAAGTCGGGTTTTAGCCGCAGTGCCATTTTATACGAATTGATGGCTTCTGGGACATTTCCCGCGTCCTTGTGGATACTGGCCAGGTTGTTATGGGCGTCCGCAAACCCGGGGTTGATTTGAATCGCTCGAGCGTAGCATTGAAGGGCTCCATTCACATCTCCCATCTCTTTTAGGGTGTTTCCCATGTTAGAGTAGGCATCAGCAAAGGTTGGGGCTATTCGGATGGCTTCTTGATAATGTTCGATCGCTTTTTGGAGCTGGCCTTGCTGCTGGAGGATCGATGCAAGATTGGAGTGGGCTGCAGCAAATTCTGGGTGATTCTGAAGAGATTTATATTAATTTAGGAAAACCATGTCTACTACAATATAAAAAAATCTCAAAATCGATCCTAATCACCTAATCTTTCTCTAAAATTCCTCTCTCACTAATTAAAATAACAAATTATCTCTACATATTACATTAAACCAATATTTACAATTTTTTAAACTTTTCGTCTACTACAACATAAAACTCATTTCAAATCTATTTCAAAATGTCTAATACTAAACAAAACCTACATAAAAAGTCCCTATGAACCTCTTGTAAAGACTTTAACACTCACCTTCAACGCCTGTAGATACAATTCCATCGCCTCTTCAACTTTTCCTTGCTCTCGTTTGATGTTCGCCAAATTGTTTTGAGAGTCAGCATGAGTTGGACAGAGCTGTAAGGCCGTATTGTAGGCCTGGATGGCTTCTTCTACCCGCCCTCGTTCCTTATACGCGTTGGCCAAGTTGCAGTAGGCATCTGGGAAGTTGGGCTGGAGTTCGATGGCCCGTTTGTATTCTTCAATGGCCAAATCGACATTTCTGAAAGAAGCAACAGTTCAAGAAGCGTATTTTACAAGTATAAAAAAGGATTAAAATTTTTCGAAAAAAAAAGAAATAAAAAAAAATTTTTTTTGAAATTTTGAGGTCTACAGGGTGCGCCAAAAAAAATGGACAAAAATAAAAACGGTTGTGTCTCGCCACGAAAACAATAACGAGTAGGGAAAAAGGGGCGATTAAGACCGTGCAAAGGACTCACTTGCAAACCCCTTAAATCTTTTTTTCCTTTCCCACCAGTTTTTGCAACAATGGACAAAAAACCAAAGAGGTACCAAGTTGTGCCTTTATTTTCTATAGAATTTTGTCGGAAGAAAATAGTTTGACGTTGTGGTTCTCTCCGTACAACTGTAACCCGAGCTTCGGATAAGTTTGAGGATGTGCTAGCATCCAGAAGTTTCTAGGGAGTGATAAGCCCAGGACAGAAAAGACTCCGGCTCGGAAGAAGAGCATCGGAAGTCGGAGTGACCCAGATCCTTGCAGATCTTTGGGACGAATGGCTTCTGAATTGAATATCTCGGCGTTGTCGGTCAGCAGAATTGTAAAAACCGACATGAGGTGTTCCTCATATTTTATTCTACGTGGGCCATGCGTTGATTCTACAGAAAAATGCAAGACGCGGCTCCAGTGCGTCCAAAACTTGAGAACAGAAGCCCCTGACACGGTCCTTTGCACGGGTATCCACCGTTTCCGTTTTGGGCCCTCGGCTCTCCGCCGAAAACGCAGGTTTAAGCTTGAAACTTTTTGACGCTACAGAAGAGACGCAGATTTGCTCAGCATAGGCTGTTTGAGCCAGCTAGAGTTAACAGCGGCTTTGCAGCGACTCTTTTAAAGAAATCATCCATTTTTCGTCCAAAATTTTGAAATTTTGTAACTACCTCGAAGCATGATGATGCCGGAAAGTTAAAAATCGGTATGTTTAGTACGTACTCGGTCGGGGAACAACCCAAAGCTTAAAAGTTATCCAAAGCCTAATCAGTTTCTCACTACAAAATTTTTTCTGGTTTTCAAAGTTTTGAGTTTTATTTTTTTGCCTCAGCAACGGAGGTTTGGATGTCTGCGGCATTGAAACAGAAAGTTACTATTACTATTCCTTTGCATATGTGATAGTACTCGTCTTAACGTATTCGACAACTTTTATTTGAAGTTTTGGTGACGCCTCAAAAAATATTTATGCCTGATTTTCCAAAGGACCCATTTTCGAGAATTGTGATCGGGACATGGTCAACTTGAACCTCCGAGAAAAAAAGTTGCAGTAAAGTTATACCTCCATTCTTATCGTGAATATACTGTTTTAATGTCGCTATTTATTGGACCAAAACGTTTCCCCGAATAGTTTACCGAAGAGCCAGATATCTGCAAAAAATTTTTGTCCATTTTTTTTGGCGCACCCTGTATAACAATATAATATACCGACTATATAATAAGGTGCGTATTTTAAAAACCACAAAGATTTTTTCAAAGACTTCCGAGACACCCTTCAGCCAAAAAAAAATCAAAAATTTCTTCAAAATCTCCCTTTTGCTCCCTAAAACACCAATACAAATCTCAAAAAAATCCCACTTACCCTTGTTCATAATACACGCAAGCCAGATTCCCATGGACGATTGCGTGATTCGGCGAGAGTGCCAAAGCTCGGAGATATGCCGAAGCGGCTCGATCGAATATCCGCGCCTCTTTCAGCACATTCCCCAAATTGATCAGAGCATCCAGGAAGTTGGGGTCTAATGTGATTGCTTTTTCGAAGTGATGAATGGCCAGCCAGAGTTCGTTTTGCGCGTTGAAAACGCATCCCAAATTGGACCAGGCGACCGCGAACTGGGGCTGAGTTTCGATTGCTTTTAAGTAGCAGACCTGGAAAAAAGAGGTGTAAATGAAATGTAAAAGCATTTCAGACATCTTCTAGTACATTCAGAGAAAAAATAAAGACCACAGATTACTGTAATTTCCGAGAAAACCTCAAAAATTTTACTAAAAAACCAAAAAATCGACAAAAATTGAAAGAAACATATTTTCAGCGAAAAAAGTGCGATAAGGAAGCCATAAACAATCAAAAAAATAAAGCTCCCTACATAATCATACTCTTTGATACCTAAACCACTCAAAAAATAAATGAAAATCCTCACCTTTGCCTCCTCAAACTTCCCCATGGCCTTGAAAAGGTTCCCCAGATCGTTTCGCACGCAATACAAATCTGGATTGTACTGTAATGCAGTCAAATACGAGTTCGCAGCATGCTCAAAGTCTCCAGTTTGTACTAAAGCGGCCGCCAAATTGATATAACCATCGATGAAATCGGGTTTCAATCGAATTGCGTGTCTGTAGTTCTCCAATGCCGCATTCATCTCGCCAATCTCTTTGTAGATGTTCCCAATATTGCTGTAAGCTTCCGCACAGTTGGGATTTATCCTCGTTGCCATCGTGGAGTAGCGGAGGGATCTAGAAGCAAGGAAAATTAAAATTTAAAAAAATATTTTATATTTTAGACCATGTGTAATATAATGCACAAAATAATGTGTCTAAATTAATATATCAAAGAAAACAGATGTCAATGAGGCTCAGAAATACTGTAATCTTGCCTAATATAACCATTGCCACTTACATTTTATCCATCTTTTAGGAAAACACGACCAATTTTGAAAAACAATGGATCAAAAAGACATGGATAAGAAAATAAGTGAAAAACTGCTCAAAAGGTCAAAAGTTCAGATATCGACATACCAAAATAGCTAGAAAAATTCACAAGCTACCTTGAAATACTATTTTTTCATCAATTCCGAAGCTTTTCCGCAAAAATTAGAGCAATTTTCTTCAGCGACGAGAAAAGTTCGACATGGATAATATAGCGTCAAAACAGCAGTAAAAAGCCAAAAAATTAGCTGAATTTTGGCTTCAGAGCATCTACTCCCTTAAACACACCAAAAAATAGAAGACCGAAGAACAAAACGACTAAAAACATCAACAAAATTTACAAATCTAGAAGATCACCTACTTTTCAAAGTCCTTGAGCTGAAAGTAGATGGATGAGATCAACAGCATTGCTCCCAGGTTCTGTGGCTCCTCTTCCAGCAACTGCAGACATAATCGTTCGGCTTCGGCGTAATTCCCGAGCTGGTAATGGCGATGCGCGGAGTCTGAAAGTTGGCGTTGTCGGATGGGTAAGGTGGCTTGAAGGGATTGGGCCAGGGAAATGATCGGCAGCGACATGATAACCGTCATCCATTCGGAAGGTGGGTGCAAACACCGTGGTTTGATCGAAATACGGGGAAAACATTGCCAAGTTCGCGAAATTTTCGAGAAAATGACTTGAAACAGAATGCCAAGGATTCTGGGGGATTTGCCAAATTGGTTGGGAAAGGTGGAATTTGAAGACTTTTTAGGGTGAAATTGTGTGTAAAAGGACAATTAGTCCGTGAACTCGACTTTCAAAAAAATTTTTGTCGATGCCGACATATCTTGGCCCAAAAAAATTGAAATTTTAATATAAATCCACCTACCTTTCAAGCTAATTCCCGCATGTTGTCCTGCGGCCGATGCAATGGCTTGGGCCGCTTGTGTGACGGCATTCTGAAGTTGTGCTGTCGTCGCATTGCCCCCGATGAGAGCTGCGGCCGCCGCTACAGCCGACGGCGTCACATTTTGTTGTCCTAGAGACCCTAATCCGCTTGCCTGCGCCAAATTCAGACTAGCCGGATTTAATCCCAGCTGCTGAAGGCTTTGTAGGTTTATCATTGATGAAACCGCCGCTGCAGTTAGCTGTTGTGGCGCTGCAGATTGGGGTTTTTGGGCGGCCATTAGGTTTCGATAAATATTCGAGTTCATCGAGTTGTTCTGGACGTCCTGTAAAAGACCACCGATCTGTTGATTCAAATTGATGGATTGCGGGGCCACGGAGGGCTGAACTGCGCCGGCTGGGACAAGCTGCTGCAGTTGGGGGAATGCATTCGCGTTTTGGAGGATAATGGGCTGAAATTTTTTGGAAATTTATGTTGGAAAAAAAAAATTTTTTTGGAAAAGTATCAAAATGTCTCAAAATTTAAAAAATCGATTTTTTTGCTTAAAAGAAAAAGAATTTTTCATAAAAAAATTTGTAAAAAAAAATCCCAAAACCAACCTTTTGAAGTCCATTCAATCTCAGGGCTTGTTGCTGAAGCTGGTCCATGTTTCAAAATCGGCTTTCGTATATCTGCGAAACAAGAAATAAACCCGGAAACCGTTTCAGAGTCGACGTTCTTTGGCGGATTTAACCCATGTACAATTGGTGGGGGAAGAGAGGAAGGAGCGTATTTGTTATATCCAAACCACCCTGTTTGTGACAATCTAATATAGAAGTTTGCGGAAGATGGGTGGCGTGGAGGTGTTTGAGAAAGAGTGGATATCTGAAAAAAAAATTTTGAAAATGAAAAATTTTTTTTTGAAATTGAAAAATCTCGAAAAAATTTTATAAAAAAAATTTTGTAACGGTAAAGTACGGAAGATGCACTAGGCGGATGAAAAAGTCTTGACATGTTTTCGCACAACGCCGAATGCGCATCCATTCGGCGTTGCGACGAGGTGTCGCGCGACAAAAGTTCCGCGGGGTGCGAAAAAAAGGGTGCACTGTGCATTCGATTGCCCTTTTCAAAAGCACAGTGCTTTTTTTGCACTGTGCGGGGTCACATTGCACTGTTTTTTTTCTTGTCGCACGGCGACAAGCAAAATTCACAGTGCGCGGCGGCCGCGCACAGTGCGAAAACATTTGCTTTGGAAAAGGAAATCAAAGCACAGTGCACTCTCGTTTCGCACCCTGCTTGTTGTTTGTCGCGCAACTTCGCGACGCCGGTTGCACCGTGCGAAAAACTTGCCGCGCTGCGACAAATAAAATTCAAGGTGCACTGCGATTCCGCACAGTGCAAAAAAAAATGTTTTGAAAAGGGCAATCAAAAGCACGGTGCGCTGTTTTTGTGCACCCCGCCAAATTTTTATCGCGTGACACCATGTCGCAAAATGCCGAATGCACCCGCACAGTGCGAAAACATGCCAAAAATTTTTGACCCGCCCAGAAAAAATGTCACATAAAATCAAAAAAAAAAATTATTTTTTATTTTTATTTTTTTTCGCACTGTGCACTAGTCTTCGCCCCAAAGATTAAAAAAAACCTAATCCTGAATGCTCCAAACACTCCAAAAAAAATCTTTATCACATTTCCCCCATATGATCCCTTCATGATTCAGAAAAAGTTTGATTTTTAAAAGGACAAACACCATAACAGCCGACGACTTTATAGCGGGCCGGATAGATTAATAGCTGAAAAAAGCAATTTTAATTTCCGCTGTAATTACCAAGGCGATCTCGGACCTAGAGCAATAATTTGGGAGTTAAAAAAAGGCCTGAAATTGAAAGAGCAACGATTAATTTTGAAAAAAATATTAAAAATAAAAGAAAAGTTTTTTTGAAAAGGGCTAAAAATATTGTAAAATACGCCACATAGGATTTCATTGTCTTTAAAAAATAAATTTCAAAAAATGTCGAAAGTCTCAAAACTATAATATTTTTTTATTTTCGCGCTTGAAAATCCATTAAATTTCCTCAAAATCCAGAAACGCCATATAAATCAAATGCTCAGCTCTCTCTTCCACGCTGAAATGTTAGCCGGCTGACCTCATTTTGAATGAGAAAAAGATCGGGATAACGTTGGAGAGAAGGGGGAAACCAGAGGCTTTCAACTGACTTTTTTGGTCGTTTTTTTTATGACTTCAAGGTCGGATTTTTCACTAAAAAAATTCAATAAGAAAACAAATTTTTTTGAGGTACCCAAAGGAAATTATTTTCGGACACCATAATTAATCAAAAATCGATTCTAAAAAGTAATTTTAACGAGCATAAACAAGATTTTTTCCTTGAAATTTTCATTTTCCCCAAAAATCCGGCTGTTTTTATTGGTCCTTTCAAGAAGTCTCCGAAATGATTTTTGGTGTGCCTTTTTCGCCACAAAAAGGAAGAAATTTGCACATAAAGAAAACTTTTGGTTTTGCACAGTGCGCGTCGCCGAACTTTGGCGTTTGCACTGTGCGAAAAAAGTCAGGGTGCGCGCGACACCCCAGAAAAGCCTATTGCACTGTGCAAAGAGCAAGAAATTGCACAGTGCAAAGAAAACCCTTGTTTTCGCACAGTGCGCGTCGCCGATTTCAGCCCGGCGACTTTCCGGAAGGCCTAGTACGCATTTTCCGTCAAAAAATCCCACCCAAAAAAATCTTTAAGACAACAGAAATTAGGACTCCGAAGTATTATGCATGATTTGAAAACAAAGAAATTCCTTTTTGGTTAAAAAATCCGATGCGACCGAAGAAATCGTTGGTAAACAAGGTATTTGGCCATGGTAAACAATAATAGTGTTGGTTCCTTGCACTCACAAACAACCCCATTTTTGAATATTTATTTTTTTTGCGTTGGAAAAAACGGTTTCATTCGGCTTTTGGTGATAAATCAGAGATCACTTTTTAGGTTTCAAAATAGCAAAGTTACAAACAAATTTTTTGAAGTGAAAAAATATTTTTTTTTGTTGAATAATAGAGTCGTATGTAAAAAACAAGCCCTCCGAAATTTCTAGATTACTTTTTTAAAGATAAAAATTACCGATAAAACAAAGTTTTTGACTAAAAATTGAAAATAAACTTTTCGCAAAAAGTCCAATTTGACTTGCCCAATCAAACCTAGAAAATATTTCTTGTCATCATGAAAAATTTTTTTGGAATTTATAAGAAAACAATAGAAAAAATAAGAAAAATCGGATAAAAATTTAATTTTCGTGCCAAAATAAGTCTATAAAGCAGCTAAAAAGAAAGCCGGCCAGGCCAATCCCCCCAGAACATTGACTAATTTAGTCCAACGTCAGCGTTCAGCGAAGCTTCCAGTCCGTTCGGGTCGGTGGAGAAAACCGCGTATGGAGCGCAAAAAAGCCCGAGAAAAAATGTTTTTTGCTGAATCCGCCCGACTCCGCAAAAAAGTCTTCGGTTTTCGAAAACCCCCTCTCGTCTTCTCTGGCCCATGCAGTGTTTACACGTGGGGCAAGTGGCGAGAGAGCAGTGGGTCGTCTCCGTTGCGCGCGCTCTTTCCGCTTTTCCGCTTTTTCTGCGGCCCTCCTCTCCGCTTTCCGCCTTCTATTTTTGCGCCCTCTGCCCATGTCTGTGGACCTCCGAACTGGCGGCGATCCCGCTGCGGTCTCTTCTGCGCAGTGCGATATTTCCGCGATGCGTCGGGCCCTCTGGGCGTCTCTCATGCGGCTGAAATCCATCGTGGTTTTCGTTTATTTCGCTTTTGCTCCGCGTTCTCTGACCCTCTCTCGCCGCTCTCCTCACGCCCCACGCTCTAGCGCTTTTCTAGGCTTTTCTCTGTCCCTCTCGTATTTTTCCCGTATTCTTTTCGCTTCTCTCGCACTCTCCCCATTCTCCGCGCTCTCGGCCGATTTCTATGGATGGCTGGTGCTCCCTTCGATCGCAACGGTGTTTTGGTGTGTGTTCGCAATTGAGGAGACGAAATATCACAAGGAAATTTGAGTTGCGACAGACGAGCAAATTGCTCAACACATCAGATGACCTTAGTCATGGTAGAGCCATAAATTTTATATCAGTAATTGAAAAGCAGCCAGACGGGGGATAAAAATCGAAATTTAACGTATTGACGATTAAAATTTTTGGCGATTTTTTGATGGAAAAATAAAAAAAAATAGCAAAAACCAAAAAAAAATTAAAGAAAAAAATCAGCAATATTCAAATTTCAAAAAAAAAATTTTTTTTTGTAGTTTCCGAATTGAATGTACTGCTCAGAAAATTGATAGAGTTGATAACTCTGTTTGCCAATCCGGTCAAAGGACTGTTTTCCACTGCACTGTGCGATAAGCAAAAACACATCTGACTGCACAGTGCGGAATAAAGAGAAAAAGAAGCGAGGGGTTTTTGATGAAAAACGGTGAAATAAAAGTCCAAAGTCGATGAAAACGTCAAAAAGTATTTTTTTTAGAAGTTTTGAGAACATGTGAACTTGATTTTTTGCATCAAAAATCAAAATTTTATGAAGTTAAAAAAAAATTTTTTTTGGTTTTTTACTCAAAAATTTTTTCTATTCTCCCCGAAAAAATGTTTATAATGATTTAATGTTTGGGCTTCACATAAAAAAAGTTATTTTGAGCGGAAAAAGCGAGTTATTTCATAAATAGATGAGACCAATTTGTAATAAGGATCTTATAAACAAATATACCGTGGGAAATATGATGGGAGAGGAGTGTAAAAATAAACACTACACTGTTAAAAATTGGTGAAACTTTTCAATTTTGCAATTCTGCTAACAAAAATGAAAAAATAAAAAAATATTTTTTTGCACTGTGCAGTCCAATTTTTAGCCAGAATTTCGCCTTGCACTGTGCAAAAAATTATTTTTGAAAAAATATGAAAGGGCTCTGACAAAAAGAAAGCAAAACATAAAAATGTCTCCCAGCCACACAACGAGTAAAAATAGCATCTCATCGGTTTGCAAGGGTATTATTTTTCGAATTTTATGGGTCAAATGGAATGACAGATGTTCATTTCTTTGCCGTCGCTCTATGCGGTGAGGTCATTTGGGCTAAAACTGTGGTTACAAGGGGTTTTTGGTCTCTTGGAGTATATATGTAAATGAACTGTAATTAAAATTCGCCATTTTCGTTTTTCAATACAATATCCAAAAAATTGATGAAAATGCAGAATTCCCCGAAAAAGTAGAAAAGTAAATGCACAGTGCGATCATTGAACCTAAATGTTGCGCAATAGCGAAGACTACGAAAAAGTGGGCAGTAAGCAAACATCGGATGAACCCATCAAGTCGAGAGACTGGGTTCCTTGCACTTTTCGACTTTGTAAATTCCTTGCACTGGACGATGCAGCAGAAATTTCAAAAAGTAGCTGCACAGTGCAAAAAAACCAAATTTTAAAAATAATTATGAAAGTGTAAAATTGAAAAAAATATAAAAATTAAACTTGTTGCATTTTTCAACTGTTTCGTCATCAGTTTTTGAAATAGTTTTTTGTAACTTTTTCAAAAAGTTCATAAACTTCTTACAAGACTCACAAAACTGTTGACTAAACTACAAATTTCTGCATTTTCAAAGGTCAAGATACAAAATTAAAACAATTGGCCTTTACAAATTTT